TAATAATAATAATAAATAATAAAAATTAGTTAAATTATACACTTTTATTTGTATAAAATGTTACATTTTTAATTAAAATATAATTAAAAACAAATAATCAACTAACTTAAAAAATGTTTATTTGAATCAAGAATGAATTGACAATTCAAGTTTTTATATATTATATATTATTAAATAAATATATTAAATTCTCTGTTTTTTTTCAATGAAACAAACTATTTAAATGGTTTTTAAATAGTACAATTTGATTTAATAATAAAACATCCCGATTTACAACACAAAAATTGCTTTAACAATAAAAGGATTAACAAACTATAAATAGCAAACCAAATACTTTGAACCAAAAACACTATAATGAAAACAAAAAGGAGTGAACTAGAAATCTAAAATCAATTATGTGGTTTTTACTGCATATGGCTGTACTTTGTTTGTCGCTTCGCCCAATATCTCGACTCCACTATCTCACAAGCACTTCTGAACATGATTTATGGTCTACATGGAAACTCAAATATCACAAAGCATATGAAGGAACCAACGAAATCCGCCGGAAGCTAGTGTTTTTAAAGAACCTGAAAGATATCCAACTCAAAAATTCGCAACGAGAATCAGATGAAGACGCGTACTTCGATTTGGACCAATTCAGTGACTTAACAGAGACAGAGTTTATGGAAACAGTCGCAACAAAAAAAGCACACGCACACCCCAAAGGACTTCACAACAACATCCATATTCCAATTCCACACCCAAATGGACCACTCCCAGAAAACTATTCTGCATGTGGACAAGAGCTTTTGTTTGGCTCCATCAAAGACAACGAAATCGACTTTTGTAAAGGAATGGAATTTGACCAAGGTGGGTGTGGCTCATGTTTTTCCGTTTCAAATGCAATGGCTCTCCAAATTAAATACGCCAATTTAACGTATCACAGAGACGGAGTTCCCACATACAAAATGATGAGTCCACAACAACTCTTGGATTGTGAGGTTAACGGGGAAAGATGTCGAGGCGGGTACGCAGATGGTCCTCTTGATTACAGTCACTACATTTCTCTTGCTGATGACTATCCTTACTACTCGGGGACATCTCCTTCGACGAACAAAGGGTGTCAAAAGGGCAAGAAAACTCCAATGAAATTGAGTTATACTTTATTTGATGATGCACAAGACGTCGCGACTTTAAAACAAATAGTGCATCACTACGGGAGTTTTGTGTCATGTGTGAAACCAATTGGGTGGAGTGGATACGCCGGCGGCATATTGAAAAATGTTGGGTGCAGTAAGAATGAAATCACAACACATGTCATTGGAGTTGTTGGCTATGGGAGAGAAAATGGAGTCGACTATATTATTGTAAGAAACAGTTGGGGGAAGAATTGGGGGCTTGGTGGATATATCAAATTGGCGCAAGAGGCGTTGTGTGGGATTGGTGGGAATGATAACGAAGACATCCCTATCTCTTTGGTTCATCATGTTGCGTTTTCTGATGTTGAGGCGGGTCCTTATGGCACTTTTAGAAGCGTTGTCGATGTACAACCGGTGTTGTATAACACAAGCAACGACCCAGCAATTAACCCTGTCCACAACCAAAGTGAAACACCAAGCGAAGCATCAAGCCAAAGTCACGAACAAAGCCAAACGAGTCGAAATGAATCATCGAATAGTATGGAGGAGTATAGTTCTTCTATTTCTGAGGGAAGTCTTTCCCATCAGAGCAATGATGAGAGTCATAACAATCATACTTCAAATGATACCGTGTTTGACAACGATCGTATAACCCTTAAAGAACTGTTGGCATATGGGATGTATGCAATTGCTGCTGGGGCTACAATACTAATGATTGTTGCAGTGATTATTCTGCACTTGTCGTTATTTTTTTAAATGAATTATAGTTTAATGAGAGTTGATTCAAATTACATATAATATGAATGAATAAGAATAATACATATATTAGAAATAAGCATTATTATTAATACATCAATAATAACATTAATTCATATCATTTTGTAACGAGCCATGTGAAAAGTCTGTGGAAATTTTTGCTTTTCAAAGAACGAATTATTCAGCAGTTTTGTAAACTACAGAAAAACAATAACTCTAGTAATAAATAATAAAAATAATGCAACTTGAATAATTGGAAGAAAGAACTTGAAAGTGGCATGCAAACGTACCAATTTAAAGTTGTTTTGCTTGGGAGTACAAATGTGGGGAAATCTTCAATTGTTTCAAGCGAGTGCAGAGACCTTTTTAGTGAAACGATGAGCAGTACTATTGGGGCTGCTTTTGTCATGAAAAGATATGAAGTATCACCAGAGGTGACTGTGTCTTTAGAGATTTGGGACACAGCGGGGCAAGAACGCTACAACTCGATTACACCAATGTACTATCGAGGCAGCAAATGTGTAATCATTGTGTTTGACTTAACTTCCACTGTTTGTTATAAATCACTTCATTCATTACTTCATATCAATTAATTAAGTTATTAACTCAACTAATTAACAATAAAGGAATCTTATTTGAAAGCTCAACAATGGGTTAGTAAAGTAAACGATTTGGGAGCAAAGCTGTTTCTCGTGGGCAACAAAGAAGACTTGACTGAGATCCGAGCAGTCACCAAGGAAGCTGCCTCGTGTTACGCAAGTGTTTTAAAAATGGACTATTTCGAGACTTCTGCTAAGACAAAAAAAGGGGTTAAAGAGCTTTTTGGAAAAATTGTCGAGACACTCCCACGAACACCAGAGAATCTCGTTGGTCCAGACCAGAATGAGGTAATTAAGTCTTCATCGTCGGGGTGTTGCTGAAAATGTTATTTAAATGTTATTTAAATGTTATTTAAATGTTATTTAAATGTTATTTAAATGTTATTTAAATGTTATTTAAATGTTATTTAAATGTTATTTAAATGTTATTTAAAATGTTATTTAAAATGTTATTTAAAATGTTATTTAAAATGTTATTTAAAATGTTATTTAAAATGTTATTTAAAATGTTATTTAAAATGTTATATCTTTTTTTAACCACATAATTAATAAAACAACTATAAAATGATATGAGTTATATCTTAACTATTTTTTGTTATAACAAAATTATAACAAAAAATAATTCTTTGGAGTTAATTATAGAAATATGACAAAAAGAGATAAATAGGTTATATAAAAAAAGGAACTCAAACTTGAAAATAAGTAAAGATGGAAAGGAGAAGATATGGAAGACGGTTTGATCGAAAAGAAAGAGAAACAACAAGAGACGGCGAGTTACCACCCCGTATGGACAAAGCTGATAAACCAGTTGCTAAGGTTGATGGATTTCAAGTCAAAGTGATGAACTTATCACCGACTATGACATCAGAGGACTTACAGAAACTCTGCGAACATTGGCAGTTAACTGTCATCTCGAGCAAACTTCTTTCTGCTCCAGACCTTACAAAAACGGCTTTGATCACTTTGAAGGATGACGAAGAGAAGATTAAACAGGTCATTGAATCATCTAAGGAAGTGGAGTTTGATGGAAGACTATTGTCCATCTCAATTGTACCAAAGAAGGTTCACAACGTCCAAGAACGACGTAAAATGCACAAAAATACGAACAAAAGCCCACTTGATTCATACAAAAACAGAATTGTTAACCAAGTGATGCGAGAGGTCGCGTCAAGAGAACGCTATTTGGAGAGACGTATATTGGGGAGAAGTGGCTTGAAGCGATTTGTCAATAAAGAAGCTACGAGAACAAATACCAAGAAAGTGGGCGGCCGTAAGCCAAGATTGCCATTCGAGACTCGACTCAAACAAATGGATTCAGATCTGACTAAATATATGGGCTCGGACTGAGTTTTATCAAGTGCTTTGTGAAAATGTATTTATTGTTGGTGGTTCGATGAATGTCTCTCTGACTCAGCGCTTGGTCGAAAATGTATATGTTGGGAGTTGTGGCTAGTGTCATGAAGATAGCCAGTTTTCACTGTTGTGATGTGGAAAGACAAACACACGTGATACTCGAAAGAGCAAAACACAAAAGTGGTCGAAGAGATCCAGTGGTGTGTATTGGCCATACGACTTGCTAGTTATGAAGACTGTATATATTTTTTTATTGTGTTTATAGTAAAAAGAGGTTATATATTTTTATTATAAAATATTAACTTCTACTTTAGGATATTAAAATACTATATCAATCAACTCTTTATAGTATTTATACAATATATATTATTATATTAAAACAATAAAATTTGTATTCAAAAAATAATACTCTAATGATTTTTATTTGAATAAAAAACAAATATTTATATTTGTATTATAAATCAAATAATATTATTTTAAAACTAAATAATATTTTATTTAACAAAAAGTATTATTATATAATTAAATGTATTGTTTTTTAATAGATCACTATTAATATAAATATAATGTAATGTTTATAATAATACATATTATTATTAAAATAATTCAAAATATTTTCAATTAATAATTTCACTACTCAGATACGACGGTATGTATTCAATACATATGTGAATATCTAATGAAATCAATTGAGCAATCTTGAATAAACATTTGATGTTTATGGTGTGGATTAAGTTTTGTCTTTAATAATATGTTTTATTTTATTGCTTTTAAATTGAACAAACATATCAAAAGCACTTTATGTCCTTCCATTATTATTGGATAAAATAACAATTATTAAAATTAATTAAAAGAATGTTTTTCACAATAAAATACAAAAATAATTAAAAATAGTAAAAAATTACTATTTATTATTTTGTTTTTATAATAATGAATTTATTAAATTAATAGTAACAATTAATAAAAATAATATTATTAATTATCGAATTGATAAAAATCATTATTTTGGTTATTTAAAAAAAATATGTTTTACTAAAAATATAATAAAATATTAATAGTATGAATGTAGTTTTGATTATGAACAACTGTCTTGGGAGCACTTTTCGTTTTTGCCGTTTTACTATGAGAAATAAGACCAATGTGATCGCAGTTTCAGTGTTTTTGTCATATTATTATTTACTCAGTACGGTCAGTTTTTATTCATAATTTGATTTTCAAATGGGAATTTTCTTTGCGACATCAAAACAATTTAGTATTTAATTAGAGGTGGAAATACAAGATTCTAAACTGCAAACAAAGAATACAAAACTATAAAAAACTATACATCTACTATTCCATTAACAAACCGATTTTAAAAATAAACAAACAAGACATTATACCAAAACTATCGACTCTTAGACTTTGATTTAAAAAATTACAATACCCAATGGTTTACAAGTAACAGTTTTGATTAGACAAAAAAAGACGTAAGACATGGCGAGGAAAGAAGACAAACAATAACCTTAAAACACGAGTAGTTATACCTAGAGCAATAGCGCAAGTACGTTCTTGGGTGTGTCGCTATCGTTAAAATGCTTGGTTGAGAACTTGAGTGCGTTGACAAGCAAGTCCACTTCGTCTCTATTTGTTTCAAACCCTTTCAAAGCCCTAACACAGTCAAGAATATTGAATTTGCCTTTTGTGTTAAAAACACCAGTTGGAACAACAGTGTCATACAAGAGTATACACCCAGTCATAATTCGTAAGTTTTTCACCGCGTCTTGTCCTTTGACCATTGCACTGCCACAACAAGAGCTTGCAACCACACTGAGGAACGACGCAAAGTTTTCCAAATTGGTCCCACCCTTCACGCTCTCTGTCGCAGTCTCACTTAAACATAGCACCATTGGCGCAGCAAACGCAAAAAACATTGATATCTGATTTGTAACATCATCTCTTAGTACAACATCTTCGCGGTGTTTCTGTTTCATTTTCCCGACAGACCGGCGGTAGTACGAAAAGTCGTTTTGCAGTCCCGGGTTCATGAGTTTCTTGTTGTCAAATTGAATCGCGAAATCGATTAACTCCATGATTTGGACGGTTGTCGCCTGAAGATTTGTGACCGACAGAGTCCCATTAGTGCGGCTCACAACACTCATCGCCTCCGAAAACTGTGTTTCTACCTGTGAGTACTCAACCAGAGTTATAATTATAGGCTTTTTTGTAATTTGAGTGAAACTTCCACTCATGTGAAGAGGATACCGACGGCTCCACACATCCTAAAATAAATAATAAAAATATAGAAAAGTAACTATAGAAACTGGTGGGTATCAAAAGAGCGTTGAAGTCAAAAAGAGACAAACTCATGCTTCGCGAAAACTCGAAGAAACTGTTGATCAACTGGACTTGTGGGATAATAGCGCGCCAAGCAGCTTCTTCCGTTTCGGCTGATGGCGTTGCAATGGCGCAACGGATCTCAGCCTCTTTTGCCTTATAGTTCGAGATCTTGTCGAGGATGTCCGCCGTCTTACTAGTGACCTCGACCAACTTTTTGTGGAGGTCAGACTCCTCGCCCGACGGCTGAGCGTTGAAGTCGATGTTGACGGCTTGGACTTTACTATGCTTAGAGCCCATCACTTTCTCCCTGTTTTTCTTTGTTCTGTTTTCTTTTTTCTTTTTGATAAGTTTTATTTATACTTTGCATCGAAAAAATTGGAGTTTTTTGAGTTGACCATCGAATTTTGTGAACTATAAAAATGGGATTCAAAGTGTTATTCAATTGATCTTTGCGTTCGAGAAATCCATCTCGGGATGGGCCTTTTGGAAGTCATTCAACATCTCCATACGTTTGATCTCGTCGGTGGTGGGAAGACCTTGTTCTTTTTGATGTTGGTCAAACATTAATTTTCGAACAGTTTCTTGTGTGTCGGTGTCTAATGTACTCACATCGCTCAATGCCTCGGCTTTGATCTGTTTTGTATCTATTTCTTCATCGCCTTGAATCACACAGCTCCACCATTCCATTCCTTTTGTTTTAACTAAGTCAACTACAACATTCTGCTTGTCTTCTATAGTCCAACAACTGTCAGCCTTTTTGACTGTTTTGCTCAACTTCCCGTTTATAAAAGTCTCCCCTTTGATTTGAACTAAAAGAGTGTCGTTACTGATTTTGCAAACAACATCTTTCCCTTTAATAGGAGTCGTGTAAGGAACAACGACACTCACCTCAGCAAGAGTTTGTGTGAATCTATACTTCTCATACACCGCACCATTGTTGATTGGTACCCTTGCCATTTCTGTAGTTTTTTAGTTCTTTGCCCATTTCAAAATCACTGGAAAAAACCTTTGAATTTAGACTTCATTTGCCTAAGATAAGTTTCTTAAAAAATTAAACAAAAAACCAATAAAAATTCGAATTCAATACTCAAAGATCCTCGTGGAATAGCATGGCTTTATTCTCTTTCTTTTTGATGATGATTCTAAGGATCCACTTTATCGTTTCACAAATGGTAAAGTGTACAACTACCATTACACATATAATTAACCAATCGAGCCAATTGAGTGGGTACTGTTCAAGTATGTCGTTGACATAAGGGATGTAGCACCCGCACACAAGCAACACTATTGAAATGAATATACCAATGAGCAACGTTTTGTTTCTTAACAAGTCTCTATTGATGGTCATATTAGTCATTGACTTGCTAATAAACGCGTGAACCAATTGGACAACTGAAAGACCAATGAATGCAAGTGTTCGACTTTTGTTGGGTTCTTCGTCCGTCAAACCATCTGGGAGTGTGTAGTGTCCAAATTCTCTGAGCGGCTTAATATAGAGTGTAGCGAAGTAAGCGCAGACCGCCAAAAATGCCATCAAAAATCCTTGGAACAATACCAACAAAGCTTTCTTCCAATTGAATATTCCATCATTTGGATTTCTTGGTTTACGTTCCATAATGTTCATCGAAGGTGGGTCCAACCCAAGACAAATTGATGGTGGAATATCGACAACCAAGTTTGCCCACAAGATCATAATAGCAGAGAATGGAGGAGCTTGTCCACAAGCTACACAGATCATCATAGTCCAAATTTCTGAAGAGTTTGCACTTAAGAGGTACATCACAAACTTCAGAATGTTATCATACACTCTTCTCCCCTCTTTAATAGTCGCTACAATATTATAAAAGTTATCATCAAGCAACACTATATCGGCACTTTGCTTGGTCAAATCAGTCCCACTCCCCATAGAAATACCAATGTTCGCAGATTTGATGGCAGGAGCATCGTTCACACCATCTCCAGTCATCGCAACAACTTCTCCTCTTCGTTTTAAGGCTTTGACGACCTTCAATTTGTCTTCCGGAGAAACACGAGCAAAGACGGATGGGAACGGATCTCTCTCGGACAACTTCTTCTCGGTGATACCAAACAACTCACTTCCAGTCATAACGAACTGATCAGCATCCTCATCTTCTTCTATAACACCAATCTGCTTTGCAATAGCTCCGGCTGTTTTTGGATGATCACCAGTAATGATTCGCACGTTGATACCGGCGGCTTTGAGTGCTTTGACTGCCATCGCACTTTCATTTCGTGGCGGGTCGACAATACCAACCAACCCAACAAAGGTCAAGTCCTTCTCAATTTCGGTGTTGTTGTCTTCCGTGATGTTGTGTTCGTTCAAATTGATTGTTCTGATGGCACATGCCAAGACTCTGCTCCCCGCGACCGCCATCTCATCCATTTGTGTTTCAATCTCTTTCAAGTTGTTCGCGTCCAATGGTTTGTGGTCGTAGTTCTCTTTGCACAACGTAAGAATGGATTCACATGCTCCTTTGGCATACACAAACCCCATGTTTTGAGCATTTTTGTACAAGACACTCATTCGCTTTCTATCAGAATCAAATGGTACTTCTGTGACAAATGAATAGCCAGACTTGGTATATCCGGATTTGGTGACACCAAGCGTCTCTGCAACAACAAACAACGCAATTTCTGTTGGGTCTCCAATCATCTCCATCTTTCCATTGTCATTCTCCTTTGTCGAGGAATTGTTACAGATGGCACACACTTTCAACAACTCGTCACAGTCAGTGGGTAACTGTTCGATCTCAGCACCAATTGAATTGTACTTGACTAGTTTTTTCTCGATAGTCTTGAAGGAGTATACATTAAGCCCTTGTCTGATTTCAGTCATTGTCATACGACCTTGTGTAAGGGTTCCAGTCTTATCGGTACAGATGGTAGTCACCGAGCCAAGACCTTCAACAACAGGCAAGTTACGAATGATGACGTTGTGTTTACTCATTCTGCTGACACCAAGCGACATTGTAATTGTCACGACAGCAACTAGACCTTCAGGAATGACAGAGACTGCAAGCGAAAGACCAATCTTAATCACACTCTCAGTATCATCCCAGTCCATCTTCCCATTCTTAATGAACAACCAAGTAACAAGAAGCGCTACAACAAATAAACACAAGACGCACGCTATCAACACCAACCATTTACCTAATGCACTCAACTTTCTCTTTAATGGCATGGTCTTATCTATCTTTTTGTTCAACTCACTTGAAATTTTACCAATCTCAGTCACCTTACCAGTAGCAACTACAACACCAATACCACGACCTTTTACAACGTTTGTTGACATGAACGCGATGTTCTTTCTATCACCAACAGTAACATTTGACGATTTAATGGGCTCTGTGAATTTTTCTATTGAGTTCATTTCACCAGTTAAAAGAACTTCAACAGTTTCAAGGTGATGCGTTTCGCACAGTCTCAAATCAGCTGGAATGCTGCACCCTTCATCAAGAACAACAACATCACCAGGAACAAGTTCTTCGGCAGTTACAATGACTTCCTCAGAGTCTCTGATAACATTAACATGTGTTACATCGAAATTCTGAAGTGCTTCAAGTGCTCTCTCAGCTTTGTATTCTTGTGTAAATCCAATGATAATATTTGAAACAATGACAAGAGTGAGCATGCCGGCTGCAATCCACTCTTGGATCCCAAGGGAGATGATTGTACCAACTATCAAGATCATCACAATGAAGTCAGTCAGTTGTGTCCAGAACATCTTGAAAATGTTCTTCTTAGGTGGTTTTGGTAATTCGTTAGTACCATAATTCTCTCTTCTGCTCTGCACTTCATGGGCGGGGAGTCCAGTTTTTAAATCAGTTCTGAATGTTTGCAAAGTCGTTGGGATGTCAACATCATAGTAATGACCCTCTGTTGGCATGTAGTTTCCAGTACTGAATCTACCTTCTGGGATTTCTTCGGGCTTGACCGCTTCTATCTCTGTTGCAATTAAATTGTGGAAAGTCGGTTTGATGTAGTCTCTCCAATTTGAGAATTTGAAGTAGTTCTGTGATAAGAAGAGGACAATGGTTTGCATCACGAGGATTTCGTTGTCATCTCCGGAGTTTAAGTGCGCGTTGAATTTGAAATCGTCTGCGACTTGTGATACGCTCATCGTTTCAATAATGTCTTGGAAGCTTCTGTCTGACTGAATCAGGAAGCAGAACAGTTCAAGTGACTCAACAGCAATTGGGGTTGGGAGGAATTTGAAGCCTTTTCTCTGTGTTGTTTGGTAATGTGTCATAAGACTGTAGAGTGCAAAACATATCTTTACTGGAAGAGCACCTCCATCAGTCTGGTGGTCATTGTAATAGTCGATTAAAGCCTTCAGAGAGTTTTCTGGTGCTTTTACCATCAACTCATCGATACGGTTCTGCCACATCCTGGCTATTGTCTCTTTGTTTTTGTTACGTTTCGCGGGTTGCTTAACGTACCATTTCATTTCGATTTCTTTGGGGTTCGAGGTTGTACTCATACAAAATCGGTTGTTTCTCTGTAGTTTTGGAGATTTGCGCGCTTATATATTCAGTGGGTAATTTTAGTACATGTCTTTTTTTCTTATGGAAAGTTTACTCTTCTCAATCAGCCAAATGATATCTAGTTTGGTCGCAAACTTGTCCAACCTATAAAAAGTTTCAAATTCACATTCAAAGAGGTTTTTTACTAAGATATATGAAAACATTTATTCAAAACTTAATAAAAAAATGTTCAACTGTAAGTGATAATGACTAAGATTTTTTCTTAAAGAAGAATTAAACTTTTCTCTCAAGAATAATTTGGATGTGAGGCAAAATTCGCTATGATGTATAATTATTAGTGTTGAAGTAACATTGATAAGTAAACAAAAAACAAAAATGGAAGAGCAAAAAGCCAAGAAAAGTTGGACAAAAATGACCATTATTTTTCCATTTCTATACATAGAAAATAAACTGTCATAAAACGCATCGAATAAAATAATAGGTATAAGATTAAAGCATATTCTCTTATGTTGGGCTGTTATTAAAAAGTTATATCACACAAAAAATTAATATTGTTATAGAAGATCTTTAGTTAAGTTCAAAGGCAAATTCGTTTTTGTTGAATAAATTTAAATAGTTTTTACTCATTATTTAAGAAATATGGTGTAATAATTAGTGGTTTCATTATTGTGGTAAAACTATATTGTAGTTGCCATTATAATTAAAGTATTTTGAATAAAAAATTGTTTTTGTAGAAGTTTTAAACTTTTTATTTAACAATTGTATTTTTATAGATAAAATAATAGAAAAAACAACCATAATAAATATGTTTGTTTGAAAAAAAATAATAAATGATATAAAAAACATTTTTGAGAAAGAAAAAAAGTCATTATCTGATTTCTATGGCACAAAAATTTATCAAATCATAGATTGTAACAATTTTCTAGTTGTTCAACTACAAAATTTTTCACGCCTTTTTTTACCCCAACTTATATGCCACAAAAATGTAAAATAAATATATAATATTTTATACTTCATTATATAATTTGTCTTAGTGGTAGTTAAATTATTTACTTGCCAATTTGATTACAAACTAATAATTGTTAATTTAATACTTATTATTGTTATAAAAAGATAAAGTTAAAAATAGTTAAAACAACTATTCTTTTTCACAAAAAGAATAGTTTAGTAAAATTTAATAATGAAAGAAGAAAAATCGCAATTTTTTTTGAATAATAATTTAAGTATCAAAGAATTAATACAGTTTATTATATGTTATATTATAAATGATTAATATAACTTTTTAGTAATTAAACTATTCAAAAAATTAAATATTTTCAAAACAAAAATACTAAAAAACAGTTTTTTAATTATTATCAAACTAATAAAATAAATTTGAATTCTGTAAATTAATCTTTAATTCTTTTTTTGATAACAATAAAAAAAATGTTGTTTGAACATTATTTTAACTTTACTTTTAATAATCAAAAAAAACTTTAACTAAGTATTACAAATATAATTTTATTCATACCTTTTATTTTTTTTTTCAAAAGAAATATTGAAAATAATGTTCAAAATTATTATTTTATAAACATTTTGCATAACATTTTATTATTAAAAAAAATGAACTCCAAAATAATAACTGGTCATATTGTTCTCTTTTTTTCTTCCAATAATCGGGTTAATTGATTCAAAAACACCCATTTTTCGAACCTTTAAAACAACAAGAAAAGCGAAAGTTGAAAAACTGAAAAAGTAAAATAAAAAAGTGGATTATTATTAAAGAAAGGAAACAAACAAAAACCAATTTCATAACCATAAAAAACTATTGTTTCGAATAAACTTAAAAAAGCCACACAATGGCATCCATGCTTAACATTGTCAAGACACAAGTTTCACAAGACAAAAGACGGTTTATCGACGACCAGTTTAACTTGGACTTGACGTACATTGACGACAGAATTATTGCGATGGGGTATCCTGCGTTTGGTATGGAGGCGTACTATAGAAATGATATGAACGATGTCTCAGAGTTTCTCAACGTTTGTCTGAACTATACCAAATAGAGAGTAAACTATAAAGAAAACTAAAATCCAGCAAAGGCATCCAGGGCACTACAAAGTGTACAACCTCACAGAAAATCCATACGACGCAAAACCGTTTCATGACAACGTGAAGTGGTACCCATTTCCAGACCATCACAACCCAACTTTAATTGTGTTGTGTCACATTATAGAAGACATGGCGAGTTATTACTATAGTGACCCTTCAAATGTAGTTGTTGTACATTGCCTTGCGGGAAGAGGAAGAACAGGAACTATTATAACATGCTTCTTGCAATACATCAAAAAGTGTAATTCACCGCAGGCGGCGCTTGCAAAATTTGCTGAAAAGCGATCGAAAAAGGGGAAAGGCGTTTGTATGCCATCACAGACAAGATACGTCGAGTACTTTGGCGAGTTGTTATCAAGGCAAATTTTGTTTGTTGGACGTACAATTTTGGTTGACTCGATTAAGTTTGGGCCATTACCAGAAATGTCTCGAGCGAACGCGGTGTCATATGTGTTAGAAATTAGCGATATCGAGAACTATTACAAACCGTTTTTTAGTGTGAGACCACTTGTAGACACTTCACCAACTTATTCATGCAATTTTTCCGAATTAACTAATGTCATTCAACTCAATTTAGACCCCCCTTTACCACTAAGTGGTGATGTCAATGTTCGAGTCCGACTCATCAATTCAAAGTTTGTTTTTTCAATGAACTGTGTGTGATGGTGGTGTTCATTTGAAGAAAAATAGAATAATGAAACAGCCCAAGTTATGGCCATACTATCGTCGCTCGAGTATCTTTTCATACATTTTTTCTCGGGAACGAATCCCTTGAATTCACATCGAAACAAATCGACATACGAAACCCATTCAAATCGAAAATACCACATTCAATCACTTTTGCTCTCACTTACAACGACTTCGCAACACCAGTGCCACTCCCAGAACACGAACAAAACTTTTTACAACAGTTCTATGCTAAGTACGCACCCAAAAAATCGTTTGTCATTGGCGCAAGAACAAAGTCGAAACATGACTCGGTCACAGTAACTCCGTCTGGAGTAAACCTCAATTTAGCACTAGGACTTCTTGATTCCCCAAGGTCATATTCAACGTCAACAACTCCACCAGGTGGAGGATCGTATTCCCCAAGCCAAAACTCGTCGCCAACTTCTCAACAAGACCACCCCGAACAAATTAACCATTTCAAAGCAAAACAGTCTAGACCCCCTAGCTGCCCCGTCTCTCAAAATCCGGAAAAGAAGAAACAGAACGTTGTGTTGACAAAACTCTTTAAATGATTGTTTTTTGTAGTTTGGCATACTATATTCGAATGGTATATTATATACTATTTTTATAATTATAATATAGTTTATTTTTATATATAGAAAGAAACTAGAACAACATAAGCATGGGAATGATGCGAAGTAAACGATGAAAGATTTGAACCTGAAAATTCGATTGGAAAATTCGATGATCAACTCTGAACTTAAAAAATCCAATGGCGATATTGCCCAACTCGTTCCAATTTACTTCGGTGTTTCCTGTTATTCCTCAACAAAGTTTGTGACGACGAAGTCACTTGTTCGAACGGTTTTTGATCGCCAAAGTGTCATTTAAATATTCAAAAATTTATTTAATTAATTAATAGTAACAAAATAACGCTCAGCCAATTTCTTAACGATTTCAATCTTTTCCTCAACAACAAAACATGCAGTGGCAACAATTCAAGAAGACTTAAAACACCAACTGAGCCTCCAAATTCGTGTCGAGTCTGTAAAAGCAAATTTCACTCAACACCTGAACTTGTCGGAGTTTGACAACGGACAAGCGTTTTGCTCGATAGACAACCACGGACAGGACGTTATCGTCTTGTTTGATAATTACAATTACTTTTCGTACACGATTTCAAGAAACCCTGTACACAACCCTACCCTCCGCTCGATCAAAGTGCAAAAACAAAACAAGTTGGGGAGCGTCACTTGCTTCACATTGATCTCGCATTTTGGATTGCCGATTGGGGTTTTTGGAACGAGTGGAGGACAAGTTGGACTGTTCAATATCAACACGGGGAGTTTGATAGAGGTCTATCAGAGTGAGAAACGCGCGATAGAGCAAGTGAAAAGCTGTGGGTCATACATCTTCTTTAAAAACAACACGAAGCTGATGTATATTAAAATGGGTGAGAGTGACGAGATTCGACTTGGGCAACAAAAAGAAGTTGGGATGTGCGACATGTTTTATGTGAATGGGAACACGGTTGGAGTGAATTACAATAACAAGTTGCAAATTCTCGAGATCAGTAATAATACACTGGCGCCAGTTGCTGTTAAAGAGCAGGACTTTGGGAATCGGATCTTCTCGAAAAACATGTCCATCTCTGCGTGTGCCGCAGGGGAACTGTTCTTTCTTTTCGATTCCAAAGTGCTGAGTATTTTAATAGGGCAGAACGTCTTGTATTCTAATAAATTAATAATTAAACCTAAAGAAATAATACCATACAGTTTTCCGTGTGTCCATGGAAAAAAGATGATGGAAGGGGTGGTTGTGTGGGACGAAAGCAATATCATAGACGTGAGAACGGTTGATACATTAGAGCATTTGGTGACGCAACAATTGTGTATAGTAGATGACGCCGACAAAAATGTGAAACTCTGTGAATTACTGAGAAGCTATGACTGTTCGAAAGATGTTGTTTCTGAAATTGCCAAAAATGTGGTGAAGGTGTCACCAATGAAAGCGTATAAATTGCTTGAAACATTCAACGTCTTTGACACGGAAATATATCAAACTATATTTTATTCACATCGACTCGACCTTAAAGAGTATGAGCAAATCATAAAAACACTCGACAAACTCGCAGAGGAAAATGCTAAAGTCGCGGACTTGGTTGTGTGTTTGTACATTGATAAGGATTATTACTTTAACACAATTGATGATCCACTCTTCATCAATTTCCTAAACCAAAGATTGCTCTATGACAGAAAAAAGGCGATGTTAAGACTAGCAGAACATCCATATCTCTTCTGGAAATATGTTCTTGAGGTTTGTCTCCATTAAGCATTTTATAATACTTTAATTATAATAATATAGTAACTAGAAATAGAATTTTTATTTACAAAGTAGATGCTATTATTGTGTGAGTATGATGTGGTGGAAGCATATTGCCAAGCGATTCGACGATTGTCCCGAAATATAGTCGAGCCCCAGCTGTTCATATCTGCGCTCATTAAAAACGTCCCCAAGTCGATATTTGAGATCTTGAACACCCCACCTTTATACGATGCTTTGGACACTTCGCAGAAATTTGAACTCCTGTGTCGTGGAATAAAATTGGCACCAGCGGCGTCACACATCGCACAACTTGAAGGCATTCTGAAAAAGTTGAAAACGCAACAATTAGAAGCGTTGACGCAATTGATAACCCCAAAGACGTTGACGTTCAACTGCATCGCGATGATAAGCGAGAATGCTAAGTACGATTTGTACGATTTATATATCAAAGCAATTTTACTGCAAAAGCTGCCTGTGATGGAGAGAACGCCAAGCGCGTTTATTACTTTGATGCATTCACTCGATGATCCACTTTTCGACTTTTCGCGAACATACATCTTTTTGACACAAAACAATTACATCATCGAGTCCGCCACTTTGCTGTATCTGTTTGAGCAAACTGGAAGTGCGCTTGAGTACTTACTGGACAAAGTGTATAATGCAGTCAACCGAGAAGACATCGAGCATTTCATCATCGACATCATCCACGATTTCACAGAGGAAAAGTTAAGTACTTTCTTGCGAACAAATTTGGTCGTGTGTTCCAAGTTGCTTCAATTTGTTTTCGAAACTCCAAAAATAGAGTTTGAGGCTTATGAAGTCACACTAATCAACCAAATATACTTTGAGTGCGTTGTGGATAACAGCAAAACAGAAGAAAATAAAAGTGACGAACAATTTATGGTCGATAAGATGACCGCAAGCATCGACGGGACATCACAACGACTGAACACTAAACTCAAGTCACAAGCAGACTTGATTGTGTTTTGTCCGAAGAAACACAAATACGTCGGAAATGGGCTAAAGCAGAAAGCCCTTGCTGTGAGTAAGAATGCAAATATTGAAGAAGATGTCATCAAAAGGATGAATGAAAAGATTGAGAGCTTTGAGAATTGCATGAAAGAAAAGGTCATTTGCCCGCTATGTGTGAAAGCTACAGCTGAAGACACAGCAACACAAAATTAAGAATTTAGAGACTTCGTGTGCTTTGTACAAATTGAGTGTTCAACTGTTAATATTCATTTGTGTGTTATTCCTTTGTATTCAATAGATACTTCTCTGGTTTATTATTTAGTAAGTAATAGTTTCATCATTTGAATGAGAAAAAAATTCTTTGGAAAGTTAAAAAATCGATGAAATGATTTTACACAATTAAAATTCAATAAAAAATTTCCATAACGAAATAAAAAATTTGTAACTAACTTTCTTGGTATAAAAAGGGTTACACTTATTTATCAAAGACTAAAGATGTTGAAGTATACTTGCGCCCTTTTCGATTTGGACGGGACACTCTTGGACACCGAAGAAATCTACGCGAAAATTAATCAGGAATTCATCAACAAGTACGGAGATGGGAAGGAATACACTTGGGAGACGAGGTCTAAAGTGATGGGTGTGTCTTCTCCCAAAGCAAACCAAACCATAATTGACACTCATAAAATCACAAAAACAAGAGAAGAAGTTTGTTTGTTTCTAAAGATCATACATCTTGACAAGTAGATGGTAAAATACAAGAAAGAGCGATTGGAAACACTCAAGAATGAAGTGAAAGCGTTTCCTGGAGCGCTTGAAATTCTTAAGAAATTGAAAGGGCTTGGGATGAAAGTGGCCATTGCGACAAGTAGTCAACAGGGGATGGTCGACTACAAAATGTTTTCGCATCAAGACATGATGAAATACGTTGACATTCTTGTTTGTGGAGACTCAAAATCTGTTAAGAAGTCGAAACCAAACCCCGACATTTTCATTCACGCAGCACATCTCTGTGGGGAATATGATATGAAGAAGGTCGTTGTATTTGAAGACTCAGTCAATGGAGTCTTAGCTGGTGTAGCAACTGGCGGATTGACTGTCGCCATCCCAGACTCACATGTTAAACAAGATCCAACATTTAAAAAGGCAGACGTCTTACTCAATTCCCTCACTCAGTTTGATGTCAGTATTCTTGAAACTCCATCTCAAAGTTGCTCTTCAAAAATATAATGTAAGTTAAGAAATATAGTTCATTTATGGTTGTTGTGGTATACTAAAATAGAAGAAGCTATTTCACCTGATACGTCTCAAGCATCGCGTCAACGTAGTCGCCAACGTTTTTTATCAGATACGAAAAGAACGCATTGATACAGCGCACGTCGTTAATTGATTTGATGGAATAGTCCTTCCAATACACACAAGGGCCAAAGATGTTGCCCAAGTTAACAACATCCATTCTATTGACATCGCTATGATCAGCAACAAGTCGGGCTAAGTTTACAAGTGCAAGTAAAAGCCTTCGATTTTCAATTGGCGTCATCAAGAAGAGTCTTCCAATTTCCAGTGAAATGTCGTCATCTTGATTCGTATTTGCTATTAATAAATTTATTATATTATGTACTATTCTAAAAATGGAATTATTTATATAAAAGAACTATTAAATAATAACATATTATTATTATTATTATATAGATTCTAATATTAGACACAAATAGAAGCAACAAACAAAAAAGAGTCACAATTTCTTCTCCAACGTCTGGAGTCAAAATGGGGTTTGGCATTGACTGCAAAAACGTCTTCATGACTGAGCAGACCACATGAGGGTCTTCCTCAATAGGGAACACAAAGACTCTGCAATGGTTGAATGCGTCAACATAATAATCGACTCTATCTTTATTTCCACTTAACCTAAAAATACCTTCAGTTGTCAGTGCGACTGGATTTGCCGAGAAATATTGGATTGCGCATTCCATGACAATTGGAAGTTCAGAAACTCCTCTGTTGTTGTGCTGATTTGAGTCGTGCAAATTGAGTCCAAAAACAGGATGAGAAACTTTTGTATATTCTGTGATGACCCACTTTGGGAATGTCAATACCCCAACTGGAATCGTCTCAAAAACATCAAAAAGGTCCTTTACAATGACTATTTTATCGTATGATTTTTTTAATAGGAACGATGTAGTGATTTTCAGTTTAATTGATGGGTTAAGTATTAAATAGATTTTGTAAAGGTTTTTGTGGTACTTTTCTGGAAAGAGTCGATACAGTGCTTTGACCAAGTGTAGGGGCAGAGTATCGTTTTTGTCGATATAGACGATTGTGTATTCGCTGTTGACAAAGGAATCCAATTTAGAGATCAAGTAATAGTACAATTGACGTATTCTTTCTTCGCTTGTGTGGACGTCGTGGAGCTCATTTTGTGGTTGAACCAAAATGATTGGACGTTTATTACGGTCTGTGTGTTTTGTATCAATTAAGTTTAAGTTGGTATATGGTGACACTTTTTGGTATTGAGCCTGCCCAAGCCAAAGTGGGTATGTGTCGTTTTCGAGTAAATTCTTTTTTGCTTTGTCCTTTCAATCATTTGTTGTTTGAATAACTTTTTAAAGATGTCTTAACATGTTTGTACCACATTAAAAGTTGTTATTGAAACGGTGTTATCGGAAATAACAGGAAATGGTAATACAACAAACTTTTGTGTCAACGATAAACGCATTCGTTTGTTGTGCAAATATGTCATCGATGTCAATAACTGAAGAAAGTCCTTCCTCTTCCTCGTCGAGTAGAATTGGGGGGCTCATTGCAGGTGTGTACTTAAACTATACTTTGAGTATATAAAAAACTATAAGTAAACTATACAAAGCCGACGAACTAATGTTAGACTTTCCGCTTCGAACTTGGCTTGTGTTTTCCTCTTTTCTTCTTCCTGTTTAGTGAAAAGCTTAGAAATGATCTTAGAGTTTTTTCTTGGTGTTGCTCCGATTGATATCATCTTGATCTTACTGAATTATTAATTCAAATCTTTGCAATTTGTTGAAACAAGACAATATAGTAAATTAAATTATAAATAAACCATTAAAAAAACATATAGAAGACTCTTCCATAAAAAACACTTTTGTCAATTCAAAAAATTTGCTGATGTGAAAAAATGAACTCCAAACAGAAAACAAAATGAACAACCAACAAACAGAAAGTGACTTATTGGTCCAAGTCGATAACGACAAGACTCAACGGCTTCAACACATTAACACACAAATGAAAGACATTCACCAAGGGATGACAATGCTCAACGACATGACAAAAACACAGCAAACTGTTATCGATCAACTTGAGATCAACTATCAAAATGCCGACGATTACACCACTCAATCGGTCTTTGAAATCGATAAAGCGGGAAATTCACAAAAGGCGGGGGATCGAAAGAACCTTCTAATTGCTTGTGCTCTTATAGTGATAGTTCTTGTGCTCTTCCTCATCATCTACATCAAGCTCAGATGATATCCGATAGATCCATTTTTATTATAATTTGTTTATCAATGAATTAAATTGTAATAAAATGAACCAGAAAGACGAAGAAGAGGTTACTTCATATTCAAGAAATGGCTGTTGGCCTCTTTTCTTTTGTCTCTGATGAAAAGGGCAAGCATGATGATTCCAAGTATCACCAATGCAATGGTCATGGCGATTGCAATCCAAAACATCAGTGTCAAATCCAAGAAGTATAACTCGATTTTCCAATTCGCCGCTTTCTGTGGAGGGTCGGGGATAACGACCAACTGCGAGTTAGGGATGATAGACTGCCACTGATTGTGGTTGACGGTGTACTTCATGTTTGTCCCAAATTCAACAACTTGAATGTAATTTGAAATTCGACCTAAGCCAATGTGCGCAAATGGCATTTGGATGATCTTGTGAGTCGTCTGGGTCAATTGCATCGACGAAATACCAACGTTGTCTCCACTCGTGTCTGCCAACGCCAATTTAAAGACCCCTCCAAAGTATGAAGTGCCATATGCTTTGGTGTCGTGCTTCAAAATGACTCCATTGAGTGCTGCTATTTTCACAAAGAGTGCGTCAGGAACTTCGTTGTTACTAATAATTTTCACCTTCTGTGTTGTCATTGAATTTTCAGAGGACTCAACGTTGAACAATACGTTCAAAATACCTTGATTCTCACAGTCATAGAAGACGGCGTTTGTTGCTCCCAAAGAGGTACTTCTGAAGACATTCTCTGCTGAACCATCAATCGATATCTTTTTGCCAGCTTCGTTCATTAAAAGTAGTCCAAAGACATCTTTAGCTTGCGCTGTATTGTCCTGCACAATTACTACGAAATCCGGATACGCGTCATTGTTATAATCACCAACAGCAACTTGTGTGAGGCCATCCACCTCTTTGAAACTCAATGAACTGTTCAAAGTAAATGTAAACACCTCGCTAGTATTGAACTTGAAATTATCATCTTTTTCACACAATTGGGACTGTGAACGGCACGAGCTGTCCGACTTCAAAAACGACTTACAAATCTTGCGTTGTGTATTTGGGACAATTTTCAATTCGCCCTTTGTCGTCGTCCATGCCAGATCCAAATTTCCATCGCGATTGAAATCAGTCACAAAGATGGAATTCATGTTCTCAAGTTTCACATCTTTCTCTGAGTTGTGCACATACTTGATTTCCTCATTCTCAAAACTTGCAAGATATATCTCAACATTTTGGCTATTGACAAACATGATATCCCCTCTACAATCCCCATTAACGTCTGCAATAGTAATCGGAAATTTAGAGTCATATGTCGGGAAGTTGTATTTCGTCGTTTTCTCAAAGTTTTTGCTTAACGAGTCTACTCCAAGCCACACAACAGTGCCTTTACTTTCAACGTCAGTACCAATCAAATCCAAGTAATTGTCCCCATTAACGTCGTATACTGCAACTTGTGTTTGACTCGAAATAACTTCTTTGCATGTTATAGGAGTCGACACCACATTAGGACACAAATGTACTTTGATCAGACCATCGACCGACTTGGTTTGAACTAACAAATCCGTTTGTCCCAAATACATGAAGTCGCCTGGAGTCACACTCACTACCGTGTCTTGCATCGCGAGCAACGTTTTGTTATTACTAAACCTCTCTTCGGAGTCAGAATTGTGTTTAACAACGTCAATCATTTTCCCACCTTTCACCACAAAAACTTCAATTCTTGTCATTAGTTTCTTTATAGTATTTTTATTATAATTAATAGCTTCATCGAGCGTTACTATAATTAATAACAAAAGGTGACAAACTCCTGGTCGTTGTCGTAATCTGCAAAGGCGACAATTTCGCCCTCAAAACTCCACTTCGCCTCCTCGCAGAAGTCGACCCCTTTTGAGCAAGAATTTTTCTTTTTGAATGGTGTCCACACGCTCGCGAAAGTCGTCAAGGTGCAGATTAATACCAACAAAAACAGTTTCATTTCTGTTTTCGAGTTTTTAGAACTACAAACAGAAAAAGTGAAAAGAATGTTTTAGTATTATTTTGTTATTTGCTGGGGTGAGGATTATGTCGGGGATTCATACATCATTCCGCTTCCTTCTAAAAAGAAGAACATTGGGTTCCGGTTTGAAGATGTCAAAGTGCTCCCACCCAACCGACTGCTGAACTCCTAACTTCCTCCACTCGTCTTCGGTCATCAAACGGTCTCGTGGCAAATGACTAAACATTTCATCAGAGAGTATCACAAACCTTTTGTGTTATTGATTTGCTTCAAATCACAAAAATGGAAAGTCGACATTCTCAACTTTTCACTCAAAAATCGATAAGGTCAATTTTCAACATAAAACAATAAAAAGAGCGACAAACCGATACTCATACACGTCGTCTTTGAGTCTGTCGCTGTAAAACGGGTCTTTAGACATAAAGTACTCTATGAATTAATCAGTTTTAGAAGAGCGCTGCAAGCACATCTATTGTGGGTTTTATCTTTTGGAGAGTGTATTGAGTTGCTTCAAGCCCTAATCCAAAAATAACTAGGACTTGTTATCAAATATTAGCTCAAAAACAAGGCAATTTGAACTCAAATCGTGTGTATTTTTTATCAAAATTGAAGTGTTGAGCCTTTCCAAAACAAATACCATATTAAATAGAATTTTTATTATAAATTATAGAATTTGTTTTTTACATATTTATAGTAATGGGGTTTACTATAAATAAAAATATGGGTGAATATACAGACAGACAACCATAAAAGACATAACAGAACTTACAAGTTTTTCCTGTTTTGTTTCTGTTGATTGAAATAGTAAAGATACGCGAGTGCCAGCACAACGCCGATGTGTACAACAATCACAATACCCCAGAACAACATGTGGCTTTCTTGTTTGAGACTAGTCGGACTCTGTATGTACCTCACCAGTCTCTGTGAAGCATCGATCGTCCTTTTACTCTCACTCAACACCAAATCGTAAAACTTTTGGAGGTTATCAAATTGTGTTATCAACAAATTCACGTCGAAAGTCTCTTCACTCTTTGTCATTTTCATTTATGATAGATACCTTATTACTTTCAAATAGAAGACAATTGATTAGAACGAAGAACACAAACCCCTTTTTAGCTTTCTCAACCATCTTAATAAGTGTTTGGTGGATGTTATTAAACTTCTCATTATTGATGTTGGCTGTTTTACTTATTTCCTCGACTCTTGTTTTGAGCTCGTCTAGCTTTTTATTGATCACCTCCGCTCCGTTCTTAATTTTCAGTTCCTCATCTTTTTCATTCTTGAAGAGAAGGCCTTCATCGATTTTCTCGTCTGTTTGTTTGAAATTTTGTTCTTTGTATTTTTTTGAACGGGTGTCTTGGTTTTGCGGTAATTCAGTGACACTCACCCCAAAGATTTGCGACAATTGTGACACTCCCCCGGTCTTTGCGCTGAAGCTCAAAAACGGTTCTTCCAAATTGATATTTTCCGTCGTAAAACAATCGACTTTAGCGTCCTTGTTTTCCAAAGTAACACTAATTGTATTTTGGGAATATGTGATCGTCACCTTTGTTTTCAAGTCTTTGTTATTTGAAAGCTCTCTAAATGTGCATTTTGCGTTAGCGATATCAGTCCCGTCATTGTCGTCTTTAAAGACCTTGTCATTGTTGTTCTGAATCCCAAGAACAAGTGGTGTGTCTTTGTTTCTATCATTGTCATATGTGTCTATGAAGAGTGCAAATCCCTTCCAGTCCGTCGGACCCCCATGGGCCTCTCCCTGAAATATTTGGGTGTTAGTAAACCAAATGCCAACACCGTCTCCCATGATTCTCTTCTGTGTATAGACATTCAGTTCGATCTCTACTTTGAATGCATTTGATTTGATTCTCTGTGTTGTAAGTATTGATAACAATTCATTCTTATTAGTCTGTAATGTCACAAAGAACAAACTCTGAGTGATGTGAGTCTTCCCGACTTGTCGTTCACGTCAGGCGTCAAAATAATTCGATCGCTTAGAATTTGTGTCGATCCCTCAAACCTATAAAACTCGCTTATCTTCTCCGGGTCTATCGGTGTTTTCAAGTCCAATACATGCCCAAATGTCGTAACAAGGAGCAACAAGATCATTTGATTTTTTAAGTTCTTTATAAAACTATTATTATTAGCATTTTTACTAGAAAAAAACAGAGAGGAAAAAGTACACAAAACACGAAGTAAAACGAGTTACTCCCAAACAAGCCACTTGAGTTACTTTTTAGTTACTTTTTTGCTCTTCTTTCTTCTCTGCCTTCTTCTCCGCTTTCCCTTCAAGTTTCTCAGTGATTTTGATTTGGTGCAACAACATCTTTTCTCCAACCTTCATCTCATTCAACAACTCTTCGGTATGGATTTTGACATTCTCTTCGACTCTTTTGATGCTAAGTCCTCTCAACGTTTCTTTCTCGATGAATCTTTGGACAATTCTGAACGCTTTCAAATACGCCTTCTTCGCATGTTTCTTTATGTACTTCTTCAGTTTCGTTTGGTCTCTCTGTTTGTCCTTTGGAAGACTCTTTTCCTTTGCAAAAATGATGTTTGCGGCAATTTTCGCTGCCTTCTTTGCAGTTTCTAAAGCGTATTTCTCCTCGAGTTGATACACTTTATGGTTGGCGGTTTGGTATTCCTTTGCAATATTTGTGCCGTGATAGTCGACGTATTGTTCCAATCGATTTTTTCGAATGATTCTCCCACGCTCTACACCAGTGAGGGAGTCCGCCTGTTTTCTTAACGCTCGTAATATCTCGAGTTTTGTTTGTCTAGCCTTTCTCAACTGTTTCTGCAATGTGTCAATCGTTTTTTGCAACAGAATTTTATCCTTTCTCTTCGTCGCCATTTTCGTGTCCTCGTAGTTCAAATCAAGTTCGTGCATGATCCTCCGCTCAACTTGTTTTATCTTCTCCAGCCGGTCCTCCAATATTTTCGTGTTTTTCTGCACCTTTATCATTCTTTTATGCATGATGCACCCATGGCGGAAATGGTAATAACTCTCGTCGGCCAAAACACTTAACGAAAGTAAAACAATTAAAAGTCCTTTCATAATATAATATTCAGTTCATTTATATTTTTTTTCTATTTTAGTCTTTCCCTTTGATTTTTGGTGTATTTACTCTAAAATAATAAAGAGTATCTTTATTATTTTAGTGTCTAAAAATGTCAATTTTTACTATACGTTTTTTATAATTTACTATAAAAATTTAATTGGAAACTCTTATGTTTTTAATTGTTTTGTATAAATTCAGAAATATTATATAGATGAAATACAAAAGTATTATAATTAAGTAACTACTAAATGTTTATTATAATAATATAATATTATTATTATAATTGATAAATTAATAGAAAAACTCTGCATAAAACAAAAACGGAAGATACTGAATAACATTTTCAAGCGTTGATAAAAATGTTATTAACATTCATACATCAGTGTTTGGCCTTGATTTGGTTGGCAACCCACTTCAATCCGGGCTCTAAACCGGCTCCAGTGATGGCACTAGTGTTGAATATATTCCAAGTGTGTGACTTGATAGTGTGGAGCATTAATTTGTCGGAAATCTCTGCGGAAGTTAAAGCGCCCGCCATGTCTTGTTTGTTTGCGAAAACTGCGATGATGGTTTCTTTCAGTTCAGGTTCGCTAAGCATTGAGTGGAGTTCATCTTTAGCGATGGAAAGTCGCTCCTTGTCTGTCGAGTCCACAACAAAAATGATAGCGCTGCACTTTTCGTAGTAACATTTCCAATATGGTCGCAACGAGCTTTGTCCTCCCAAATCCCAAACTTTGAATTTCACATTCTCGCACTCAACAACTTCCATGTTGAACCCAATAGCTTTCTGTTATAACAATTAACTATATAGTATTAACTATAGTAATAAGTAACAAACTAGGCATTGACGGAATGACTTTTCCACATTGAAGACGATATAAAATAGTAGTCTTCCCCGCAGCGTCCAAACCTAATATCAATATACGGACTTCTTCCTGACCAAACAAGGAGGAAAACCATGACAAGATTTGTCCTTCATGTCAAAAATTGTGAATGAACAAAGTGTAAACAAACCCATTACTATTATGCCTTTTCCAGTTTTTTGTTTCATTCTTTTTTCGTTGGGGTTGACACACTTTTAACGCGAAATTTGAGGAATTTGATGAACAGTTTTGTTATTACAACTAATATCGAGATCATGTAAGAAATGGAAACATCAAATATAACATTGATTATGTTTAAAAAGAAGTACTGAAAATATATCATTAAAAAACTATATTTTATAAAAAGAAAAAATCATTCTGGGTGAAAAATAAACCATATAAATATTATAAAGTAACTAAAAAATATACAATTATAAAATGTACTCGAAAACTAAAACTGTAAAAGGTAGTGTTGATGGAGTTCGTCTGGGAGAAGCACGTCACATTTGTGCGGAAGCAGCAAGAGAAGTCGTCTGAAGACATTGAATCCATCACCATGTCTCATTTGAAAGTGTGTGGGGTGTACTGGGGGTTGATGGTGTTGCACATGTTGAACAAAGTGACAGAAGAGGACAAAGACGTCTTGTCCAAATTTGTGTTGGGGTGCTACGACGAGAAAACTGGCGGGTATGGTGGTAATATTGGGTATGATGGACATATATACAACACTCTAAGTGCTGTCCAAGTGTTGTGCATATTAGGGAAGCGTGATTTGATTCCGATTGATAAGGTAGCCAATTGTTTGTTCTTCATACTCATCAGTGTGTAATTAAGGAATTGTGTGCTAACAAAAAGTTGTTAAAGAACGACAACAAGAGGATGGGAGTTTTGTGGCCGACAAATGGGGAGAAGGCGATAACAGGTTTACATATTGCGCAGTCTTCACGTTGAAACTGATTGGGAAATTGGATGTGATAAATCAAGACAAAGCCGTAGAGTATTTGGTGCGTTGTATGAATTTTGATGGGGCCTTTGGATGTGTTCCTGGTGCAGAGTCACACGCAGGCCAAACGTTCGCATGTGTCGCATGTCTTGCATTGTTAAATCGATTCGATGTATTACAAAAAGAAAAATTGAGTTGGTGGTTAGCAGAGAGACAGACGGAGACTGGTGGGTTGAATGGAAGACCAGAAAAGTTACCGGATGTGTGTTATTCGTGGTGGGTATTGTCATCGATGTGCATATTAGGGACTGTCGATTGGATTTCGAAAGACAAATTGATATCGTTCATATTAAAAGCACAAGATTTAGAGGATGGAGGAATTGCTGATCGACCTGGTGATTGTGCTGATGTGTATCATACGTATTTTGGTATTGCTGGTTTAACTCTGTTAAATGCTTACGAGGATGTTGTTGGGAAAATTGATGCTCGATATGCCATGCCAGTGGATATTCTTCAGATGTATGACCTTATCTAATTGACTCGTATTATTTTGATACAAGAATAGAAGAGATTTTATTATTCAAAATTCTATCTATTTCTATAGACTGTTGTAAATGTTAAAATACAATACGTTTAATACAGATACTTTGGTTATAATTACTTGTAATCAAGAACTACTATATGATAAGGGACAAACCACTTTCCACCACATAGATCCCCACCATTTGTATATTGAAAAGACTTTGGTGAGCAATAACTCCCTTCGATTCCTTTCTTCCTCACTGCTATGTCATGACCATCACCAACTGCAAACAACCCCTCTTTGTCATCATCGAAGACAGCAAACATATGCAAACAGTCTTCGTTGGCGAAGAAACACTCACTGGTTGTCTTGGAATTGGATTTTAACTTGAAAACAAACGAATTTTTGTCAGTCACCCACCCACTCCGCTTTGTCACTTTTTCTCGAATGAAAACACCAAAGATGTTGTCTTGAACGTCTTTGATAAAAACGGAAAAATTTTGAAGACCGACTATCTTCTGAGAAAAGACGGAGTTGTCTTTGTTCCAGTTGTCTATATTGGAATCAAAGACTACACTCTTTACTTTGAGCTTGGACCACATTTCCATTTTCATAATGTTGTCTGGTGAAAGCATGGGATGTATGGGCTGGATCTCCGAAAAAGAAATGCGTTCTTTTTCACACATTTCCAGTTTTCTGATCTCATCTTTTCGCCACTCCAACTTTCGCAATAGCGCGGATTTCTTTGTCGGCTTTTTTCCGATTTCTTCGTCCGTCTTCTCTTGTTCTGTTTGGAGCAAAAGTGATACTAAAGTGTTGTTGGACGCAATAATTTGCGGCTCTTCATCTTCACAAATTGACACTACGCTTTTAAATAAATCGATGAAATCAAACATCTCATCGACTATGAGAGAACTTGTTTTGATCAGTAATTCGCGGACTGAGTTTGTCTCCGAAAGTCTGTCGAGAGTACCTTCGATTCGTGTGATCTTGTCAACCGTTGACTCGTTTGCAATTGGTATGAATTCATCTGCTAAGTTGGAAGCAAGGTAGTGTTCGGTGTATTTCTTTGCTTGGACGATAAGGTCCGAGATTTCAAAATCGATGTCTTTGACTTCTAACAACACTTTTCGATCCATTTGATGTTTGAAGTTACAATTTTCACTTTTTGGGAAAGCAATTGTTTATCAAATATATAGTAGATATTTATTTTGTTATTTGTAAACTCAAATACAAACATTTTTGAATGAAAAATATAAAAAGTTGAACAATCATTAGCCATAGTAACATGAATTATTTAAAAACAAGAAATCAAAAACGAGTCGTTTCAATACAAAATTATTTGTTTAGTAAACAATTTATTTTTTGGTGATTTATATAATTAATTTTATTAATCTTTTTCTATTAACTGGAAAAAATGTCTGTCTGTTTTAACTAAACACTTATTTTTACTATGGTTTCATTGTTGTTAAATAAATTATTGGTTTACAAAAAAAAATAACTATAACTATAAATTAATTATAAATCGAGTTAATTTGTTTTTAAAGAAAAATCAAAATATAAACACAAAAATTAAAGATTGTTTTTAAAAATCGCAATGAATTATAACCAGTTTTTGATGCAAAAAGACGATTCAGTTAAATGACTATCCAAAGAAGATATAATAATCTAAATGTTGCACATTCACTATTGGCAATGATTGATTATTTTAATTGAAGACAAGAGAGTGGTTGAGAAGTTCACACCAGAAGAGATCGGTTTAATTGTGTCGACAAAGAAAAATAAAACATCA